GCGTATTGAATATTTGTTTATTTATTTTTAAGGGTTTTTTTTTGTTTTTCTCATTTTTTTTAATGTTTATTTTTGTGAGAGTGACAGAGTGCAAGTGGGGGAGGGGCAGAGAGAGAGAGAGAGAGAGAGAGAGGACAGACAGACAGACAGAATCTGAAGCAGGCTCCAGGCTCTGAATTGTTAGAGCAGAGCCCAACGCGGGGCTGGAACTCACAAACTGCAAGATCATGACCTGAGCCGAAGTCAAATGTTTAACCAACTGAGCCACCCTGGAGCCCATGCATGTTGATTACTTTAAAATAAAAGTTACTTAAGAAATAGCCAATGCAAAAAGAACACTCTGACTGCCACATCCCACCCTCCCACCCCCACCTTTGTCTACAGAAAGCAGGAAATAAATCTCCCATGTGAAAGGTACCCTCACTGGACCAGAAGGTAAATAGAGACATCCCCATCACCAAAGATAGGGAATTCCGAGCTCTTCAGGCTATTTGAACAATCTTTGTTACTTTTACTAATTTAGTACCCCAACCCAAATTAGTTTAGGATTCCTTATCAATTAAGGTGCCTAAACATAAGTTTTCTTTGTCCTATTTCTCACAGATTTATTGTCTCTGTCTAAAAAGTATACAAACTGCCTACCCTGGTCATTTCTTTAGGACTTGCTTCTATGCACACATAATTAAACTTTGGATTTTTTTTTCTTTTGTTAATCTGTCTCATGACAATTTAATTCGTAGACCAGCCAAAAGAATCTTGAAGGGTAGAAAGAAATTTTTCCTCTTGACACTAGCCAAGTTCACCCAGTAGGAGAAACAGCTGAACAAAGTCTTTCACTCTCAATCAGCTACTCTTTCTTTATACCCTACCACATTCCCTCCTCTCCCCTGCCCTTCACATACTCAGGCTAAAAAGGAGATGCATCCAAAATAAAAAGGATATATATATATATATATATATATATATATATATATATATATATATATATATATATATATTTTAGCCTGACCAAAATCTGAAGTTGCCAAGTTACTATTTGATGCTGCAGAATAGACTCAAGATATGAATTTGAGAGAAATGAAAAACTGAATTTCTATGGTTGGTCAAATAAAGTTTTCAAAGAGTCATTTTCATCTTTTACACTCTTCCGAATTTGAATTATAGTTATAAGATGTTAACTTGCAAATATGAGATGGACTATTTAAAAAAAAAATTCCTCTTGCCACATAGGCGAGTATGGAATAATACCACATTGACAAGTGTTAACTGTATTAGGTTCATTTTCAGAAAACGTAGAATAACGTTCTTTTACTTAAAAGAAACAGATACAATAATGCCCTTGGTGTTACCACTTTTTAAATATACCTAATGACATGACACAAAACGCTAGCAAAAAGAGAATGTTTTGAGAAGCATGTTTACTTCCACAGCTTTCTCTCTCCAGACCAGGAGGTTTGCAAAAAATGCTCCCCTAGAGAGTATTTGTGTTTTGTTGAGGGTTCCACTCCCCTTTAATTGCTGCCCTTTTTTCATGACGTACTCAAGATTGCCACAGGAGGGGAAAGCCGTATCTTTTTTCTAAAGTAAACAGTCTAGGGAAAACCCCCAGGAAAATCGTCATGTTGGCTTAAATGTTTCATGAGAACCATTTTATTACTGAATGAAATTATCAACATTTTGGGTTTGTTTCACTCTTCAACTAACACAATAACTATTTCAGGCAGCTAGTGAGGTAGTTAAAATATGGATGTTGACTGTGAACTTGAAGTAGAAAAGGTTGACAAATAAATATAGCAGGACTGTGGAAGATAAGAGGAGCCATACACCCACCCATCCGAGGCACTACCAGGAAGTGAAACCACTAAGCTGGAAATGAGCATTCTACTTGTCCTGGATTGTGTTACATGAAATAGGAATTCAAATCCACTGTTCTTTTCTCAGGTTGTAAGGAGCTTTAGAAATTTGCTTCTAGATACTGTGAATGGCAATTCACTTTTTAAAATAAACCGGAAACCCCGTCTTTTGAAGGATGAAGAGCTGTGTAAATGTGCATTTGAAGGCAATACCCTCAGGAGTTCTTGATCTTTTTTGTACCACGGACCACTCACTCTGGCCATCTGGCAAAGCTAACCCCTGAGTACAGTAGGACATTATAAAGTTCATGAAATAAAAACATTGGATTACCAAGAAAACTGATTTTATCAAAATACATGGAGTCTATGCAGTCTAGTAGACCCCTTATATGATACTTATATACGCTTCAGAGACTTGCGGTATGTTTTCCCCCTCTACTTCTGTGAAACTAAAGTTCTAAAGTTCAATGTAAAATTTTTGAGGACAGAAGAGCTCACAGCACCATAAAGGGTAAATGATAAAAACAAAAAACAAAACAAAACAAAAAAACAGTTCTTTTTTGTGCTATCTACCACTGCTAGCACCATAATGAATGTGTAAACCCAATCTGAATACTTAGACGTTGCATGTAAAAAAACACAGGCTGGAATAAATTAGAAACACCATCATTTGCTTCAAAATAGGAAATTTACATTTTCTCAACCTTTGAGCAACAAGCTAGAGAACAGTACCAAGGACATTGGTAGAGTCTGTAAGAATATTTCTACTGAGCTTCTCTGCTGGTGACATAAATGTCCCTCCCTCCCAGTGAGCTTGCAAAAAATATGAAATTAACAAAAACAGTGCTACACTCTCCCCTTCAGTTTGCAGATGTCCCCTTTATTTTTGGACAGGAAGAAGTTAGATAACTACATCTAAACCACAGCCTAACAAATACGGCCAGAACCCAGGAATAAAGTACAGAATGACTTTCCAATTCATGGCGTGTCTCATTGAGGTAGGAGGAAAGGAGGCCAGAGAAGAACCTTGAGTGGCAAGCAGTGCATCTGGAAAAGGTCCGAGCCAGATGCAAACATAAGTGCATTTGACCACAAAGAGCTTCCCCTCCTCTGCATGTTGCCAGGTTTGACCCACACAGACTCATTGTTCTCATTCAGGAAAGTGCCCAGCCATCCTTAGTGCAAAACTAAAGAACTTTAATATTGTAAGGATTTACAAATATATATTTATATATATATATAATTTTTATATATATATTATATAATTTATATATATAATATAAATTATATATATAATATATATATATTATTATATATAAATTATATATATAAATTATATATATAATATATATATATAAATATATAAATATAATTTATATAATTATATAATATTATATATATAAATTATATAAATATAAAATATATATATAATATATAATATATATAAATTATATATATATAAATTATATAATATATATATAATATATAAATTATATATATATAAATATATATATAATGAATTTTGAAAAAACAAGATTTTCTTCTAAACTTTGAAGAAATGTAAGAGTCAATATTTCAATAATATTTTCATTCCTGAAAAAAACATGTCGATTATGGTAACCAGCTGTTCTCCGAAGTTCTAAGGATTAAAAAAGAAAAGGAAATGACTTTTAGTTGCAAAATCAAGGATGTATTTCAGGTTGATGAAAGAACATCCTGATAGCAAGGCTATAAAATAAAAACTTTTTCTGATGGTCGATTATTACTACCACATGTTTTGGCCAGCCTTCTACTATAGAGCTGTAATGGTTCAAATTCTATAAAGCACTAAACTATCTTGAGGGAGCATTGATGGCTTCCGGGAGCCTGGAGAAGTAAGCAAAAGCTGAGGAAAGCCGAAGGGTATGATACAAGGCAGACATAAGAACTTACCTAGGCACCCAATAAAGGCCGGCACAGCAACTGTTAGGCAATCAGAATTTAAAATGACAATGACAGTTCTAGCAACTAAGACAAGAAGAGTAAAAAGCCCAGTATGATGGCTCCTGGAGCAGGTAAAGGCATTGAGATTTGCCAAAGTGATATCCAGTCCAGGCAACTGGAAAGGTAAGAATCCAACAAGAGTGAAAGCAACAAATTCAATCCCTTCCTACAAAATGCTGGAAATCAAGCCAACTTGTAATTACTCCCTGCTAGTTAATAATTACCTTAGATAAAAAGATCTGTATTCTATAAGCTCATGAATTTCCATGCATTGTTTTAGGTGTTTTGTTTTCATTTTGTGTTTTGGCTCAGGGCACTGCCTGTTCATCTTAAGGATTTCCAGATTTTCTTGCTTGCTTGCTTTCAAAACTCCCACTCTGGAAGAATTCAGCCATTCTAGCTTCTCTGGGTTTGCTCCTAGCATTTAGCTAGAGAAAAACCACATAACCTGGCAGACTGGTTTTGTTTTCGGTTCACACTCTCAACATTCACAGAGGCCCTGGACACTACACAGTATCTTTCTAAGTTTTTCCTGTGAATTTGCATCCCCATTCTAGAAAATGGCTTTCTTCTCCACCTTGCCTCTCCCCACCCCCCTCTCTTAGCTGGTGACCTCATCTCCCTTCGCTGAGAAAACAACACCAGGGGGAAGTGTCTTATCTTCCCACCACCAAATCAGCAACCTCCCTGTACTTGCACTTGAGTCCTGTTTGCCTTCACCAAGGAAGCAGAATTCCTCCTCGTGTTAAGAGACCTGACCCCGCAAGTGGCTCTTGGGACACAAAAGCCCTCTCTCTTCTGTAAGTACATGATAGTCATACCTCTCTTTTCTGAACAAACAAAATGACTTTCTCCTGATGACCTGATGAGCAAGCCCATAGAAGTCCCTCTGCTTCATATTCCTCCTCCCTCCACGTTTCCATGTTTCTGCTGCATTTACCAACAGATTTCTCCAGAGGGCCAGTTGTTCACAGCGTATCCATGCTCCCAGAGTCCTCACCCCTCCATCCACGGGCAACCTCACGCACACTTTCTGTCCCCATCACTCCACTGAAACTGCTCTTAATCAAGATCACTAATGACCACCAAGTTTTCAAGTGAAATCACTTTTCTACCCTCTGTTTCCCTGGAACCACTTTGCTTCCTTTGCACCCACAACATTACCCCAATCTCTGGTTTTCCATCCAGCTTCTTGCTTGCTTTCTCGCAGGCTCAGGTACCAGTGCTTTGCCTGGAGCCCCCAGCGCAAGCCACACCCTTCTCTCTCCATTCACCTCCTACGCTCTCTCCTCTCTCTTGGCTTCTCATCCCTCACAGCCTCACTTTATGCTTACGTTTCACCTCAGGGAAACTTTTCTGTCCTGCCCCTCTCCAGATTATTCTCAACTGTTGGAATCAGGTTGCTTCCTTTATCATCTGTTTATTGTTTGCTTAATTATTGACTCTCTCTTCCAAGAGGGAATTAATCACACCTGCTTTATTCACCCAGGTCTCCCCTACAGGGATCACAGTGCCTAGCACGTAGTCAGTCTGAATTAAAACTTCCTGAATTGGTGAAGGAGTAAATGCATACAGCCCAGTGATCACCAATTCCTGGTAATATTAGCTCTGGATTTTTCTTTTTAACCCAACAAGTAAAATTCTTTTTTTTTTTTTTTTTATGTTTATTTATTGTTGAGAGATAGAGCATGAGCAGGGGAGGAGCAGACAGAGGAGACACAGAAGCCAAAGCAGGCTCCGGGCTCTGAGCTGTCAGCACAGAGCCCCACGCGAGGCTCGAACTCATAAACTGTAAGATCGTAACCTGAGCTGAAACCAAGAGTCAGAGGCTTAACCGACTGAGCCACCTATGCACCCCTCAGCAAGTAAAATTCTTAAGTGACAGAGAGAGCGCAGATTTTCTAAACTGTTTCCTTTAATATCTGTTCTTTTTCTAAGTATTAAAAAGATATATTTTTCCTACCATTTTTCTAGGAGTGCTATATACCATATTAATAAAACAGTATTTTCCTCATAGAAAATTATGATTTATACAAGTGTGTTCTTTTCATTCTGACAATTGTCCACGAGGTATTAATCAACCAAACCAATCTGCCAATCTAAAACATAATTTAGGGGCACCTGGGTGGCTCAGTCAGGTAAGCATCTGACTCTTGATTTCGGCTCAGGTCATGATCTCATCATCTGTGAGACTGAGCCCGCACTGGGCTCCTCACTGATAGCACAGAGCCTGCTTCAGATTCAATCTTTCCCTCTCTCTCTGCCCCTCCCCCCTACTCTCGCTCACTCCCTCTCAAAATAAGTAAACTTTAAAAATAAATAAGTAAATAATTTCAACAGGAAGAATTTCTGCAAACACTGAAGGAGTCTCACAAAGTTGATTCTTTTATTACTTTTCATTGATAGCAGAGACATCGTTAGTGGTAAGGGTAAGAAAAAAATCCCATATAAATATTATGAGCTTTCATGTATTTAAAATATAAATCCTTGGTGAACACCACCTCAAAAAATAAGTACCAAGTGGTAGACTATAAGCAACCATCTTAAAAATCTGCAGTTAAATTGTTAACTAACCAAGAAATCTCTTTAAATGAGAATTTTTGCTATGTGGCATCTTCCTAAAATATGTTAGTACCATCTTCTGCTAAGGATCAAGGGTTTAACAATACTTTGAAGTTCTTATCTGAACATGAATTCCCATTACATATTGAAAGCAGTGATTTAGAAGACTGTGCCATGAACTACCGATAACTCTGGTGTTACCTTTTTAAGATCTAAATTTGTGACCTCCATCAATTTTAAATTCATCTGCCTCTTCTTCATGACAGTTGAATGGAAAGGAATACAATACCCGTTTGAGGTTTACGGTATATATAACAAGGGACTGATGGACATTAAGAAATCTTAATTACAGGGGCACCTGGGTGGCTCAGCCGATTAAGTGTCCAACTCGGGCTTCAGGTCAGGTCATGACCTTGCAGTTTGTGAGTTCAAGCCCCACATTGGCTCTGCACTGTGGCTCCTACTTGGGATTCTCTCTCTCTCTCTCTCTCTCTCTCTCTCTCTCTCTCTCTCCCTCTCTCTCTCTCTCTCTCTCTCCCTCTGCCCCTCCCCTGCTTATACACCCTCTCTCTCTAAATAAATAAAATTAAGTCATAAAAAAAAAAGACATCTTAATCACAGATGCAGGTGCCTATACAGCATGTCCTCACAGCTGCATGCATCTGTAGGCCCTTTTCCCCAAACTGCTTTTCTGTAAATTCTTACATAATTGCTTTAAATTTCTTTTCTCAATACTTTCATAATGTTGAACCAAATACATGTAAAAAGTCTACAAAATGGATTACCCTGCTGTTTCAACAAATTAAAAATGATATTTGTACAAAGTGGAGATAAACCGTACTTCCAAACAAGGTTGTAAAGGTAGACTAAGAATCAGAAAGGATCAAAAACACTGAGATTCACACAGCAAGAGCAGCAAAATTTTGGTGCATCTCTTTTTTTCTCAGGCAGGTGCAAGTATCAGAAGATCAGAACAGTGTCTGCTCTGGTTACTGTCCTCTTTGGAAAGGACTCCAGAACCAACCAACCGTTGGGTCCCCCCAACTGTCCCCACCCTAAGCGTCAATGAGTAGATGAAGAGATGCTAATAAATTCATTTTCTTCCCAGAGTGGCTCAGTCGGTTAAGCGGCCGACTTTGGCTCAGGTCATGATGTCACGGTTTGTGCGGTTCATGGATTTGAGTCCGGCGTCAGGCTCTGTGCTGACAGCTCAGACCCTGGAGCCTGCTTCAGATTCTGTCTCTGCTTTTGTAAGCATTCAAAAAAATTATAAATAAATAAGTTGGTTCTCGACAAATATGGATGCTATTTTTCCTACAAAACCTTTATAAAGAATCGTGTAACCCTTAGTCTTCATCTTCTCTACATGAAACAGGTCGAGATGTTCCTGGAGCTGTGGGACATTCTACAAGGGTTTTGGCCCACTTCCCTGAACCCTCCTCAATTTCTCTGGTTTTGTAGACTATGACAGTCTATGAGAATAAAAATGGCTTTCTTTCATTTTTCTATGCATCTCACCCATTTTTAAAGAACAGGTTTCAGGCGACAATAAGAACAATTTTCCAAAATTGAGAAAAGCAATAGTTATAGAATTTGTATTTCCAGTTTAATGTTTAGCCTTTGATATTAAGACCCCCCCCAACATTTCAAAATTATTGAGGACCTTTTTTTTTCAATATATGAAGTTTATTGTCAAATTGGTTTCCATACAACACCCAGTGCTCATCCCAAAAGGTGCCCTCCTCAATACCCATCACCCACCCTCCCCTCCCTCCCACCCCCCATCAACCTATTGAGGACCTTTAATAAGGCCTTTGGTTATGTGAGTTATTTCTTTAAAAAAAATTTTTTTTAATGTTTATTTTTGACAGAGAGAGAGAGAGAGAGAGAGAGAGGCACCTAGCATGAGGGGGGAGGGGCAGGGAGAGGGAGACACAGAATCTGAAGCAGGCTCCAGGCTCTGAGAGGTCAGCACAGAGCCCCGACATGGGGCTCGAACTCACGGACCATGAGATCATGACCTGAGCCGAAGTCGGACACTCAACCAATTGAGCCACCCAGGCGCCCCATGATTATGTGAGTTATTTCTATTAATATTTACCATATTCAAAATGAAAACTGAAAAATAAAGGATTTAAAAACCACATTGAAAGAGGCAATTCATAAACAAAGACACATGAGTGGCCGGTATAAAATTGCCCAACCTTATTTCTGAAAAAAATATACATTTGAACAAGATACCATTTTTCATATAACAACTAAATTTTTGGATTTATTGTTGTTTGTCCCATGTGACTGATAACACGGTGTTAGCGTTAGCATAGGGAAGTTCTACTCTCGCATACTGCTTCTAAATTGATACAATTTTTCTCAAGAGCAAAATGGCAACAATAATTGCTAACCTTCCGTGAAATTCTGTTGAGCATTTTTGAGAATACTTCAAACACTCAATTATTATTATTACTCCTATTTTACAGTGGAGAAAAGAGTGCTTTGATAAAGCAACTGGCTTAAGATCTTACAACTTGTAAGTAGTGAACTTTTGTTAAAACCTGGGCGGGGGTGCCTGGGTGGCTCAGTCAGTTAAGCGTTCGACTTCGGCTCAGGTCATGATCTCGCGGTCGGTGAGTTCAAGCCCCGCGTCGGGCTCTGTGCTGACAGCTCAGAGCCTGGAGCCTGTTTCAGATTCTGTGTCTCCCTCTCTCTCTGACCCTCCCCCGTTCATGCTCTGTCTCTCTCTGTCTCAAAAATAAATAAACGTTAAAAAAAAAAATTTTAAAAATAAAAAAAAAGGAAAAAAAACCCCACTCTTAAGAATCTATCCAAAGGAAGTACAATCTATCCAAAGTTGTGCACAAACATTTACATAAGGGTCTTTGCTGAAACGTTATTTGTAATAGTAGAAAACAAATCCACCTGAATATCCAAAAATCAATGATCAGCCAATATAACATTTCCACAGTCCAAAAATTACATGCTGGTGAGAAGCACTCTTATTCATGGGTAGATAGCCATTACTTGTCCAGTACCTGGCACAAAGCAGGGACTCAATAATATTTGCTTCAGGTAAGAATGAACACAAACTTATACACAAGGATAAAAAAATCATGTTTTAACAGACAATATCATGCCTGAGGGGTAAGCACGCTATAAAATAGCAAGAGTAGTGTGTTAAACTAATGAAATAAGGAGGCCATTAGATAAGGTGACACTAATGCCTTGGTGGTCTACATAAGCAAACCAAAGTCCAACACCGTCTAAAAACACCCTACATAGTGAAACCTAAGGACAACCAATCACAAACAGCCAACTAGGCTTTAAACTATAGCCAACGGATAATTTTGTTACATTGATTCCACTCCTTCTTGATAGAAGTCTCTTTTTGGAGAGCCTGCTGGGGAAGTGCTTCTGTCCACTTTTGTTTGGCACTGTCCCATTCCACTTAACTGTTGCTCAAATAAACTTTAAAAATTTTTGATATGCTTTAGCTTACCTTTTAACAAATGTAATCACAATTTTGTAAAATGTACCTGTGAGTGTATGTATAGAAAAATGTCTAGAAGTATAAACAGATGTATATAAATGAATTCCTGTCTCTTTGTCTCTGTACTGATGCCTAATAGTTAATAAATATTTGTTGACTGACTGACTGAATGAATGAATGAATGACATTTTAAAAATAGCCCTTGAGGAGGGGCACCTGGGTGGCTCAGGTGGTTGAACGTCCGACTTGGGCTCGGGTCATGATGTTACTGTTCATGAGTTCCAGCCCCACAAAGGGCTCTAGGCTGACAGTTCAGAGCCTGGAGCCTACTTCAGATTCTGTCTCCCCCTCTCTCTGTCCCTCCTCTGCTCATACTGTGTATCTCTCTCTCTTTCTCTCTCTCTCTCTCTTAAAAATAAATACACATTGAAAAAAATTTAAAAAATAGCCCTTGAGTGGATTATAGGTCATTTTTTCCTTTCCTCCTTTGCAATTTTCTATATTTAATGAAATTTAAGCAGTGAGTATGAATTATCTT